TAAGGATGGCTGGATCTGATAGGATAGGATAGGGAGAGACATAGAAACCTTGTTGCCAACTATGTTTTTTCTTACTTTGTAGTTTGCGGTTCCCTTCTTTTTCAAAGCTTTGTCTAGTAAGGTAACAACTGTATCGATGTCTGACTAAAATGTATCCCTGCATGGACAGGCCCGAACATCACCATTCATAGTATTATTATTTGTCATGTTAGCAGGTAAAAACCTAATAGGACAAAGTGAGGATGAAGGGAAGTACGAGATTTGTGTCTTTTCAACAACTGGTTGGTTTTAAATTGTCAGATGTTGTATTTTAGTCATGTTTGTTGGGTCACCTGTCAGGCTGGTTGATGACAACAACTGGCTGGTTTTAAATTGTCAGATGTTGTATTTTTTACCACGACTCTGGCCTCAGGAAGATCCTTATCCCCTAATTTTACAGCAGTGGTCACCAACTACGTATATTTATTGGAGGGCCAGACTTTTTCTGGACAGACACCTTGGGGGCTGGACACTCAATCATCACAATGCAGTCGTGGGCTGGAGTGGATGGTTCAGTGGGCAGGATTTAGCCCACAGGCCACCATTTTATAGCCACTGCTTTAGAGGGTGTGACCATGAATTTGGCCCCTAAGGCGTTTTCAGAATTGGGAACTGAAATGTCTCTGTATAACAACTGCATTTCCTGATGATTTTCAAAGTCTTGACTTTGTGACCTTTTTCTTTACAGTTCTGTACAAATTCAATTTGACGTAACATTTTCCACTTGATGTGCAACAGGCCGCTCTTTCCTATTACCTAAAACATGGGTCACTGCAGTGGCAACGTTAGCTTTCTGTTGTATATCTATTAAAGAAGAAATACAAAAAAATGATTGTGGGAAATGGACAAAATGTTTCAAGAAATGTAGAAGTTTTTTTTACATCATATTGAAAATGTATTTGTCTTAGTACATATACCATTTCTAGAGTAGATGATCCTTCAAACAGTGACAGTGACTTCCCATTTAAAAGTAAACTAAAAAGCCAAGGGAGTACAATCACAGCTAATCTTATGACAAAAGGCATTTTGTTGTGTTGTTTGATTTGGTTCATTGGGAGCTTTAAAAAAAAGATCAACAATATCAAACAACCGCTTTGAAATGACTTCACAAAACTCCGTTTCTCTGCATTTTGAAGCGGTGAGTGTTTAAAGGTATAAAGAAAAGAAAACGAGGAGAGAAGAAAACACAGCACCTTTCAATAAATTGATGTCAATGACCACAGAGAGTGCGTCCACAATGAAGGAGCAAATTGATTTACTGCCAAGTGCATGAAAGACAATGCTTTCCCTCACCTCCTTAATTACCACTGGCTAACACTGGCTAACACGCTGGTTGGGTTTATGTGCTAAAACGTAAAACTGAAAACAAATAATGGATGTGTTAAAAAAAAAAACAGACCTGTTCCATTTATTGGAAGTGAGACATACTAGAGGAGGTAAGTCCTCCTACTTTACACTGAGGTTTGAGATGGCTACGTATGGAAAAAAGAGATCTGTTTGGTGAAGAAATACAGGCTGCTAACTTTGGCATTTTTAACTAATCTGAGTCACAGGTCGATTGAATTTTGAGCTGTAAGGAAAAGACCAACCAGTGATCAGCTTTTGTAATGCTCCCCAACAAAAAAGGTTCAATTTTCAGCACAATGATTTGGCCGATAATCCACAAGGTATACACAAGGTTTTAAATTGTCGCTTTCGGAGAAGCAGCTTCAATGTAGTGCCTTGTATCATTTCAGCTGTTTGACTGTGTGTAACACTGGTTTAACTTGTGGCGACCGCTGCTGCTGGACACCGGCTGGGGTCATGTAAGTGATTTGGTCATGAAATGGAAAACACCTGGGCCCAGTGGATTGCAATTGTAAAAGCAACTTGACAATAACTGTCTCTGTACGCAGCAGCAGCCCCAAGATGTGGCAGCTGGTCTCCCCCGAGTGACTCTCTTCTTTTTTTGATACACATACACACTACATAAGGTAATGCCTCCAAACACACACCCTGACACTGCTGATATGTTTCACTCTCCACACTCTATTCTGTAAGTAGTTCTTGTTTCATTTTTATTATATAGTAAATTCATTTGAACTAACAAATGTTACACATTTTAAGTTATTGCTTCCTGTACTTGACTTGTTATAAACCAGATCGAGCTACGACAACAACAGCTCATCTGCAGTGAAAGATGAATTCAACAGTTTAAAATTTGCAGTCATGTATTTGTATATATAAATTTATATTTGGTATATATTTGTATTCAATGCAGGTAACTCACTTTGACGAGGTAGGATCTGAGTGTTCTTCACATCAAACTCCAGGGCCAAACACAAATCTGAACCTGCTCTTTTTAGAAATCTAAATAATTCCTTGCAGAGGAATGCTCTTTAAATCCAAGACACCATTTCATCAAATGTGTTGATTTACAGTATCAAAGCCTTTTGAGAGATAAAGAAACTCCCATGGAAAAGTCATTATTTGCCAAGGCATGGTAAATCATTTTCATCAGATCTAAAAGAGGCATGAAAGTTTAATGAGCTTTACAGAATTCATGCTGATATTGTTTCTAAGTCTCTGCTTATTTATACACTTTTTCATACTTTGAAAAATAAGGTAAATTGGTTAGAATCCTCAATTTGTTTTTAAGATTGTTATCAACAACTCCAATAGCCTTAAGCTAGAGCTAGAGAGAGAGAATGAATGGGAGTAGATGGAGTCCGTCCATTGATAGGTCTACTTAACACGTTTTGTGAACCAAAGCTGCCCCTGCAGCATGGGAAGCCTGTACATTTGTTTAACTTGATGAGTCATAATTGCAGGGATTCCAAAGTATGACATGCATCTCTGTCTAACTGCAGAAAACAGAACAGAGGGTAGGCTTTTATTGATGGCTGACCACAATTGTCTTTATGTGTTCTACCTCGACAAATGTAAAACTTCACATTAAAATACCTGATGAAATGAGTCAATGTGAGGAAGTGTAACACTCGTAAGAACAACTCTAGTAGGCAAGACTCATCCAAAGACTTACTGCACTGCATGATATACAGTATGATGAAATAGTAATGTTTATGTAATACTACCAGGAATTCTGTTGTCACAGGCAAACACAAGCCAGTGATCTCAAGGTGACTCTCCCAGGATCTCATAAATGTTTGAGTGGAGCTGAGGTTCCTGTCACAACACATACTCTCTGTGTGTCACGCAGTGCTCTCATAGATGGAAGTCACGCGCTCGCACACGTTTTCATACACATTTTTTTCTACTCTTCCATGTTGTTTTACATATCAGACAGAAGTGATTTTATTGAGTTGTCGCATAGAAAATGATTAACTTAGCTATTTACTAACTTACTAACTCATTCTTAAAAACCATTAATAGTCAGTTTTATAATATAATTTTATAATTATTACAATTAATAATTCAATTTTGTCTAGTTCACTCTGCTAATCCATGACGTTTGCAGGGTCTCATTAACCTTTGACCCTTGCAAGTACAAATTTTCCTCTAAAAAATCTGAATTAGAAAAATCTAAATACATGCAAGTCCATAAATCATGGGACTATTTACCATGTGACACACAAATTTACGGTTCAAATGTCAAAAATGTGATTGTCACTCATGTTTAATAGACTTTCTTACATGCTTCTGTTGACCTTGGTCCAGGCATTGCAGAAAACAAAAAAATGAATCTTTGCTACAACAAACAATGGAAAAGTGTTTCATCGCAGCCATCGATCAAAATGTGCCAGCTCAGTTATTTTTATTTTTACAACCCAAGGTTGAAAAAAACTGATTTAAACTTAGGAATGTTAGCGTTTTAGCCACAGAAACTAAAACAGTCATTTTCAAAATAAAGTTTAGTTTTTAGACAGGAAGCAAGCAGGCACATTATGTTTGAACCATTTTTTGGTCTTTGTGGTCTCACTCTTACCTAGTACCTGACCGATAGTTGAGAATTAAGGATAGAAGATGGCACAATACTAATGCAGTTGTCCAGTTTTGAAATGATGACAGTAGTTGGTTAAGCAGAAGCCTAATAGAATAAATAAAAAAGCCGTTCAGGCGGTGGAATCAGGTGATGCCTGAAGATAATCATAAAGTACGACTTTCACACCATTATGGAAGTGCCAGTCCGAACCAATCATTTGCTAACCTTTGTAAACTGAGACATAAATGTGATGGTAAACATGTTGTTCTGTTGACTAACGGGTGGAGAAATATCTCTTGCTGATGCCATAAAGAGTATTTTTGAATCACTAAATACCATTTGGTCATTTATATATAATGATTTGGTAATTGTGTTAATAAAACAGCCCCCTGGAGCCATTTAAAATAGGAGTAGGTGTTTTGATAAGATTCCAACCACTTCCCACTTCCAAGTCTTTTAACAAAGTAATCACAGATGAATGAGCATCTAAATGACCTTTTTTAATGGCTAAGCCATTTAGCACGGATGTACAGCTGCACTGCTGCACCCAGCATACCAGAACAGAACGTTTCTAACCTTTAATGTTGTCTTACTTTTTTTTTCCTGCCAATCACTAGGGCGACTTTTTGTCAACTCTATAAAAGAACCCGATTAAAATTCTCTCCACAAACTTTGTTGTTTGTAAAAAGAACTGGGTTTTTTTGTTACTATCCACCTAAAATAAATAACAATAAATAATAAAATATTTTTGCTAAATTCTAGCAAAACTTGGTTGAGGAAAAATATTTTTGTTCTTTGTGCGGGGTTTGTGCGCCTCCAATTCAAGTCTGCGTCCTGAAATAAACTGCTGATGAATTGGACTACACAGGTCTGATGTAAAACATTTGAAGGGACTTTCTCAGCTTCAAATACAAAAAGAATTTATGGCACCTTAGACTGGTCCAGCAACTCTAACACGTTCAAACATCATTCTTTCTAATTGGAGTCTGTTTGATTTTGGCAAGAGCAACAAGGGAAATCAAGACTTTTCATTTATTACCTGCAGCCGGGGCCTTTTCTCACTGCTGCCGTTCGTATCACAATCAGACACGACCAGTAAACTTTGAAAGACGACCTAAAGGACAGAAGAGCAGGTCAGGGTACTTTAATAACAGAGTTCGGTGAACAGGTAGATCAATAACAAAGTATCATAATTGGGCCAGTTACTTTATTCGATAACTTGTACTGCCCTTTGACAAGATATACCGATCCAGTGACACAATACTTTTGTGGCTTTTCACCACAATCAGCTGTGCAAAATTGAGCTGCTGTTTTCTGTTTCCTTATTGCGTTTCAATGTCTCACTTCCATCCTTGGTGGTTTGTTAAAGTAACTCAACGAATGACAGTAGTTTGGAGGTACAAGGTGAGCAGTTTATTATCGACTGAAGACGCGCCGTAATCCTGAATATGCTAACGTCTCTACTCAATCTTTACCTTGAACTACTTGAAACTAGAGGGGCTGGATTTGGCAGGAGGAAGGAGTAGTACTGAACACTGAAAGAGTATTCTACAAGTTGTGGGTACTTTTCATTTATTTTTAGAGGGAAACATTTAGCAGGAAAAAGCACTGACAGTACCCAGCCAAAATAACAAGCTATATGTGTAAGCTGTTCATAGTGGATAACCCTCCTGCATCTACAGTGTGTTCGTAACTTCTTGAATTCCTAGTTATTGCTGTCAAATTCATTTTTATTTTAGACACTAGTCATGGTGTCCCTCTAACTCTGCTGTTCATTTCAAAAAGACAGACTGAAAAGAAACTAATCATTTTCTTGGTAGCTCTTTTACTGATCTCTGTGTGGCTCGTGCCCTCGTCACCTGACACAGACTGAGATCATTAGCCGTTAGTCAGATGTGCAGTTAAAATATTGATTCCCGTTGATTTTATATAATTTACTGGCTTTTGAATCTTGGCTTTCCATCATTTTGCACCATCATGTTTTAGTAGTAGTCTCAACCAATCTGAAAGGAAGTGTAAAAAGGCAGAAAGAATTTAATTTATTTTTTTATATTTTTCTGGTATGCAGAAACCACTGCTTCTCCTCAAAAATGTTTTCTTATAACAAGCATAAAGAAGATGTTTTTTGGTTTTTTCCCACAGTAATGCACTAAAATATTCTTAGTGTGAATGCTGGACTTTTTAAGGGATGGATAGCAAAAGTGCTCCGTTGTGAAGCCAAAATGAAACAATAAAACTTTAGTGGAACAATTAAAAACCCGGAAATAATTATAAAGATAACTAATTGCTACAATATCTACCATGCTTAATAAAAGCCAAACAGCCAGCATCTTAAATCAATGTGAAACACACAAAGTGTTATGACTGAAGAAGAAGAAGAAAAGAAAGAAGAAGAAGGCGAGAAATTACATGTTCTTACTGCACTGATGATAAATTGGTCTCTTGTTGCCAGGAAACGTGTTGGTTGATCTTAACATTTTCTTACAGGAAATTACCAAAGAGAGTGTATTAAGTAGATTTACAACAGCTTACTAAAAACAAAGAGCATGATTTTTCATCACCAAACATTATATATACAGTCATGAATAATAAAGTGACCCACATCTTCACTGACTAAACTGCAACAAAATCTGAAACAACAGGATTTGGTTCAGTTGCACCTCATACAGGAATAGATGTCAGGTCAGGAATAATATACTTTATTTATCAATATTTTTATTTATTGCCTATTTTTATTTATGTAGTTATAAAGAAGAAGAGGTGCAGGATTTTATTCACATCAGTGAGACATGGTTTTCCATTTTCTTCCATTCATTTTGCTTTCCAAATTTAACAACAGTAGTTTAAATCTTTACTAAGCAAGTGCGTAAATGTACGTTCTCAGTTATTAGTTTTACATAGAAGCATAAATATAATTATGAAGTATGATATAGTTCAAATTACAGCTGTGCGGGCCCAAAACTCTAGAGGAAAAGGAAAATCTCCTTAGAGAACATTAAAATGTGTAAATGAGAACTATGTTTGGAAGTTTCAGTTATGAGGTTTCTATCAGCGATTTATTAAAAAACAGCTCCCTTTTCTACACTGGCTCATAAACTTTTCTGTCAATTCCACTTAATGTATGAGTTGCAAATAAAATATGAGTTTCAGAGAGCAATGGGTATGACTATTCTGTTTGTTCTTTAACAAGGCAGCTTTTTCTGTTATGGTTTCTTTCCTTTCATATGTATATGAGGTAATTAGTTCTTGTTGTGATGCAGCTTTCTGAATGTAAATTGTGTCCTGATGTGAAGCATATACTGTATAAACACAGTAATGATGACTGCAGAGGAATTCTGACCCATGGTAGAGCTGTGTTTTGATTAAATAATCCCATAATTGATTCATTTTTATTGAAAGGCTACTGTGAGCATGTTGGACTGAGTGCTGAGCTTCAAGGCTGTGACGGTTGCCGTGTCATCGTCTCGTCATCTCTGCAACATGTCAAACATTTAACACATGTTCAGCCTTAAATAGACATAGTGGATTAAGAACTGGCAGAGACTGGAAAGTCTATTTCTTGTCCATTTTGTGCTAGTTAACTACACACTAGCTTGAGGAGCAGAGCAGCTTGAAAAAACTTCAGATGTCATTGGAGGTATGTTCAGGTACCATTGGAAAATTGTGAATCCAAGGATTACAGCACTTACTGTGTTGTATATTTCAGGACAAATGGTTAAAAGTTAAAATTAAAAATATTTAAAATGTTTATTTTCCTTTTTTATTTTTTCTTATCTTACCTTCAATTTTCTGAGGTGCCCCAGCGCCCCCTGGCAGCAGTCCACACTTTGAAAACTACTGAGCTCTGGAACACAGAAAAAAAAAATTCTAATCAATAAAGAACCTATTAGCAAGACAATGAATTAGAAAAATGCATAAATCTTGGATAAGATGCTTTACAGATTTACAATAAGACCCAAAGATGAGACAAAGACCTGTAGAGAAACCATAAGGACAAGATACTGAAAATGATGAGAAGAGACAAGGAGATGCATAACAACAAAAAGTGTAAAACAATAGAGACAATGCTGTAAACAACCCAACAAATGTATTGGTTCATCAAATCTTACAGCACTTACTGGAAAAAATAACCCTCCACCTCACGGGCTAAACTAATGTGTGTTATTATATCTTTATGATCATTTCTGTTTTCCTTTTTTCTTAAGAAAAGGAGTTTTCTGACACAAGCAGAGATGAACAGTGGGTTGTATTAGCCACCATACACAGCACTTTCATAGAACGAGAACACCAACATCGATTGAGGTTGTTTACCACACACACAAGCATATACGCACACACCCACCCATAAAAATCCTTTTATCCCAGGGGTGTATCCAGCATCCAGCCATTTCATTACTTTGAGTCGGAGATGAGGTCAATAATGTTGGACAGGGTATTAGCACCCCCCACTGGGCCAAGCTATTCTGGTTGAAAGAACCTGCTAGACCTCTAAAAAAAAGGCTTCACACTGTACTGACCCTTCACTCCTGACAAGATGGTCTATTTTGGCCTGGGGTCTATTCAGGTGTATAATGCCTGTGTGGTTAAAACTACGACTGCAGGAAAAACCAGCCACCAGAAAGATGAGGCTCAGGCTGTGATGTGGCCCAGGCAGTTGTGCAGTGGCTGTAATGAAAACCCAAAAGTACTGAAACAGACCCAGCAGCAATTTAACAACATTTGTTTCTATTTGCAGCAGCTTCTCTTCACCAGTTTAATGGTATGAGCTGTGAGCAATGTAGCATTTAAGTCCACTTAAACAAAGTAAGAGCCCTTTTCAATTAGACTGCAGCAACAGTTTTTTCATTATTGAATATCTGCCCGTGCTTATAGCAGGCAAGTATTTTGCACCTGGAAGACACAGAATGGGGAAAGAATTAAAGGCTCAAAGCCACCGTGATACTTTTGTGTATCATCGGCTGTAGCCTTTAAGTCATAATATATTTGCTCATTAATCATCCAGCGGCCTTACTGGGGACGTGACGCTGGCACAAACACAGTGTACAGCTCCCAAGTGTGGCCCTATATTTACTTATTCTTCCTATAAAGAAATCTCACTTCAAATTATGAGCACATTTTTCAAAACAATAAAGAAAAATGGCTGCAATTACCCTCCCACCATCACACAATGAGAGATTCAACACGAAAATGTGTCCTTTTTTTTTACAAAACACTGTAAGACATTCATGTAAATACAGAAATATATTTATACAACATATACCTACAAATTGGTCTTCCTCAAGTCACACAAACACTTAAAACATGCTAAAGATATTTTTGTGAAATTATATTTCATTAAATATGAATAAACAACAATAAATATAATTATAATAATTAAAAAATATCTAATATACCTATACTTCTTTACATGAAAGCCAAGGGGAAAAACATTTACTTATTGTTATTTATAGTTAATTAAGTTATGATTTTACTGGTCCAGCCCACTTGACTTCTAATTTGGTTGTATGTGGCAGTAAAAACCAAAATGAGTTTGACACCGCTGCCCAAGAGGAAGTCCTTTACAACAGTAAAGAGAGTGCAGCTGTGGGATGGACCAACTGACATTAGAGGTGGTCAAACACAGTATAATTAATGGCCAGCAACTAATGGGGAAACACTGCAGTAATACTGACCACTTTCAACTGCTTCTCCACCAACTCGTATCACTCGTATCTTCACAGTCATAAAATGTGGTTCCGAAACATAAACTTCTCATGAACCACATTCACACAGCTGTAGCCAAACACCACGAAGCATTGAATGATAATATAAAAAAATAAGAAAACGAAACGAACCCGTAGGTAAGGCTACATGTGCTACAGGTGCTTCGCGTTCTCTGCGTGTAATTTACGGAGCTAACGAGCGCTACTTCCTGTTTTTACCCACTTCAAAATAAGAGCACATTTCAAAATAAAAAAATAAAAAAACGGCTGCAATCAGAGCATTTCTGACGGTTTCACTTGTATACATTTCAAATCACAGCTTAGAAAAACCAGTACAGCAATGTTAGCTGTGACATGATGGGTTTTTTTTAATCTACGCTGCAATTAATGCAGGACCGTTACATAGTGTCTCTGTTCCTCAGCCCATATCTGCTTTAATGCAGGACCGTTACATACATTACATTACCGTGTCTCTGTTCCTCAGCCCATATCTGCATTCGCTCTTAAATCCACAAAACCCTGGGTGATGTTTCATCTTAATAAACAATAGTGGGTCGTGGATAACACCTCAGGGTCCTAATTAACATCTTTACAGCAGTCAACGCTGTAAGTTGGATAAAAACAATATATTTCCTATGCTGTAAGTTGGATTAAAAACAATATATTTCCTTCAGGAGGGCTATGTAATGGTTCATCAAAGTAAACCACATTTTAATTTAATGAAAAACATTGTAAATTGTTCCCAAAAGCTGCCCTAACACATATAGACATTAGATTTTATAGTGCAACATTTAATAAATGGATTGTTTTGTTTTGCTGCAACTGCACAGATATCCCTCTGTATGGTAATAAGAGGAGGAGAACATTGTTTTACTAGAAAGAGATTAACATTGAAATCAAACAGTTTTGCATCATTGACTATTACTATAACTGCTATATGTACACATCTCTTATTATACATTACATTATTTCCTTCCATTTTAGAAAACCTTCACTTACTAAATATCCAACAACTCAATAATTCTGTCCGATAGAACACCACTTCTCCCAGACCCAGGTGTTTGAATTTTTTTTTTCCACAGGAACAACCTCTCCACACACCGATCCCAACAAAACAAATGAATAAATAAATAAATAACTTGAGGTGTCATAGCACATCCTTGGGAGAAAAAAAAATGAAATCATTATTTTCCTGTAACCACGAAAAAGTTTGTTTCACATCTCTGCTGAAATTCTGAACCACTCTTGTTTGGAAACTACTCCAGTTCCTTCAAAAATACAGGAGTCCTTTTCCCAACTGCAGTTTTAAGAACTCTATATGGCTGTTTGTTGGGAAACAGTTCAGCACCGTTGGCTGGCTCTCCTAAAACCTTTCTGTCCATCGTTCTGCTGCAATACCACGACCTCGGTGGAGACGGTGCAGATTTATGACAGGGGACTCTGTGTTGTCACTTCACATTCTGTAAAGTCAAAACAAGTAATTTAGCTGCATGTTTCTGTACATATTTGGTATTCACTTTGGCAAATGTACAACTAGCATATTTAAGTAATATTTTTCACATTTCTATAAATCCTGTCATGGCTTCCCAGAGTTCTGTTTGACAGTAGAAGACCTGAAAATACCACAACATTTAAGGGTTCTGCACAGGATCTTAACTCTGCACTCCTGCCTAATTTCTTCAATTTGTAGTACACTATGTGATCTGTGATGCCTTTAATGTCTGACCGATCACTCTAGCTTCTGATATAAGAGTTTAAAAGAGGCAGTTAGTAAAAGAGAGTGCGAGAGTCTGCCTAGAGAGCAGGTCAGAGGAGAAAATAAGTCTTGAACAAAATGTAAAGCTTGTGTTTTTTCATGATACTAAGAACATTTGCGTGTACGTCCATACCCAGTGAAACTTTACTGACATTACAGGCTGCTGTCTGAGCTTCCACCACTCTGATAGGTTCATCAGGTTAGTAGAATTGTTATGCATGAAATGTAACAAGTAGTTCAAAAGCAGTGGATTAGATACATTTATTTAAAAACGTCTGCTTTGGTGCAATTACATTTGAATTGCAAACATCCTACAGAAATACTGTGCTTTCAGGAGTGATTTGCAGACTTCGAAGGCGTACGATGGAGATTTAACTTTGCAGTGGTTACAAATAACTTCGTATTCTTTAAACTCCCCTGTCTGGAAATGACTGAAAATGAAAATGTCAAAGTTACAGTTCACTACCTTTTCTATTTCATCCTGTTAATGTGAGGCTGCAGCAGTCCCGGAGTCTCTAATTGGTTGAGATGCGTGATGACACCTGTCCAAATCCATAAATGATCAAAATCCCTACACTTGGCCTATGGTTTGACCTACCTCATCATCTCTGCAACCATCTTTTATATTGGTAATAAGCTACTGTCACACAAATGTGAAATACTGTCGGAAGAGGCACGTTTGATAGGTCACATTTACATGACTAACTCACTAACTGCTGATAAACAATGATATTGTTAACATTATTTTAAGACTTAACCAATAATATATTTATAATATATCATATATCATCAGCAAGCACACCCTTTCAAATGCAATACATTTTATCTCTCATGAGTATTTCTTTTTTACAATTTCAAATTTCCTACGGTCCCTGAACGACCCTGATTACGGACTTGCCACTCAGTGGCGAGAGACGAGGAAAACAAACTCACATGTACATGGAAATTTATTGAGACTTGGAAAATTAGATTTTCATTAATTATTCGATCAATGGGTTCATTGATTATCGTCCCAGGCCTAATTGTAATGCATGTCTGCTGAGTTATTGGACAGTAATAAAGCTACGTTTAGTTAGGAAGGCAGCTTACGTTGTAGGTTTTGACGCCATATCAATAATGATACATTATGTTAATTTTCTCCAGCATGCAGAACGCTGTCAGTAGCTGTCAGTGGGGTGACCAGTTATGCATCACTTCCATTTTTATGTCCCAAATGCACTGTAGCCTAGAAACTTAAGGGCTAAATATCCTGTGATCTTATGCACGTCTCATTTCAACCTCAGTCCTCTCATAATACTATTTCGCTAATGTTTCATGAGGCTGCTGTCCAGAAGCGCAAAAGGGAACATTAAGCTGCTATTACTTTGCTTCGCTGCAACGTTCAAAATACAGAAAAAAAAATTATCTAATTAAATTAAATTTCTAAGTTACATTTTGTCTTTAAAGTCTGTTGAGACAAGCGGGGCATTTATCTGTTCTGTGTGTCACCGTGTCTGATCCAGTCCAGACCAGCTGGGCCAACTACCAGTGTCGTTTCCATTTCTCTTGGAATTCATGTGGCTCCAAGGCCTGTGCTCATTATAATTGCTGTCTTTGTGAGTGAAAAGCACAATGAGGCCATTACTCTCTCCAATGAACGGCCACACCTGACCTCACAGTGCCCATCGAAGGACATTAATGGGTTTGTCCCCAATTTGTCCTCTCTCAGGCGCTGTCTTGTCTCTAGCACTGAGACTCAGCTTTTATGGGCACAACTGATGCTTCTGTTGCATTTAGGGGGAAAAAGCCGGCTAAAATACCAAGTACCACATATTTATTTATTTTATTAGACAGGTGATAATGGACAAATGTCTTTTGTTACACAGACACCATAAATGACCTCTATTAAATTACTCTCGAGTGGATGGTTGAGAAAATTTAAAATTTCATGTGCTCATGATATGTAAACCTCTTTGGGAATGAAGAAGTGCTGACACATTTTTAATGAGATTCAAACCATGAGTCATTAGACAGGACTTTCAGAGTAATGATGGAGTGCCTCTTATACTTCCTGCCCACACAGACAGCACCTCAGTGTCACCTGAGTGAGCCCTTGTTTAACTCCACTGCTGAACTGGAGTTCTCCATGGTACGTTCAGCTACGACAATTTCATTAGTATTTATTGCCGGTCATCAACTCTCACACACAGTGGTGCAGTTGTGTCTAATGTGAAGTGTCATTGTGAGCTTTGACCTACAATGCTCTGCTTCAGAGGTGGTATCGGTCCAATATTGGTCAAACTGTGAGGAAAAAGAACTATGGTCCGTCCGATCTGAAACCTTAGCTCAAATGTCTCAACTTAACTTTATGCAACATGTCTGTCAACAGGGACACTATCACCTCAGCACCGACAGTCGACGATATGATGGAGAAGAAAAGAAGGTATCGGAGTGATATAGATATCAGCAGATACTCCAGGCAGCAGTATCAGTATTGGTATCAGACAGTTGTATCCAGCCATCCTAGAATGGCACAGTGACAATCAAATTGTTCTGTAGTCATTCAAATATTAACATTCTATTTTTAAAATGAAGTGACAAATTGCAGCAATGAACAGCTGACGTTTATGAGGTGTGGAAACCAAGTATGAAGTTGAATATAAGCGCTGTAAAGCTCGATTATTAATCACACTGTAACCACGTCAGTGATGAAATATTTAGCTGACCCTGAATCTGTCATTAATGATAAGAATCACTCTCTGCCAGGGTTTATGAAACAGCGGCTGTCTTCAATCAAACAACTCCATTATCCCACTGCTCTGTCAGGTCTGAACAAAGACCCTGGGCTTATCATTCAAACACAAAAGCCTAATAGAAAATAAAAATGAGGTTTGCATACTGTACATGTCAGAGAAAAAAAAATCATTGTCATGCAGTAATGTTTAGAAACGTGGAGGGAATGACAATCTAGGGGAAAAACAATTATGCAATCCGGAAAATGAGTTACAATTCAGTGTAAAATTATGTTTAAATATGTGTCTGCCTCAACATATTTAACTGAGAAATAAATGATTAGAAATGAGTTTTTACCAAGCCTGAGAATAAGATGTGTTGCATGGCCATTATGAATGACATTTGACTGGATTTTAAATCATTGAATGATTTTGAATGTTTTGAATAAAGAAAAGGGTTGATTCAATGAATCAGTGGAAGACAGTGTTCTATGTCTCTGAGATTTAATGCACAGTAGATTACAGCATCATTTTTATATGTGTCCATTTGTGTTCTCTCCCTCAGATGCACCGGCCTTTCTTCCTCCTTTACCAGTTGTTAGTCACTTTAGTGTTGAAACAGCATGTCCATTCTTAATGTTGTCTCTTGTGTGATTTGACCTCAGCCAGTGTTGGACCTTGTTTTAGTTTGTCAATTTTGTAACTTTGCCTGTTGGTCTGGAATCTGTTCCTGCACCTG